AAGGAAAAGTAAGATGGATCTTAGTCCTTGTTGCTTATGCTTAATTATCACAACTTCGAGGTGTATTAAATTATATGTGGCATTCTTTCATGGATCATGGTATAACTAAAGAAAGGATATTCAAGACTAAGGTGGGACAATTGGGATATGACAATCCATCGCATAATCAAAGTTTTCTTTAGCCCACTCTATTGACAATTGCTTAATCAATTACACTTGGATTACAAACGGAGCGGCGTTCTTTGTCATCACCTAAGAAAGACGTGAACTTATTTTATTCGCGGAACAAAATGTATCATGTGTCATTATATAAGTAGATGAATATAGAATAATATATTTCATCTTTATTTGTGTTGTGGTATGTAGAGTACTGATTCATATTCTGAATATACTGAAAAATTTCTTTAAGAAAGACAAACAAACGTAAAGACAAATGTATAGGTTGTGCCATGTAAGTAAAAGCCAACCTATTAGGCCATCTCCAACCGAGGGCTGGCCAGAGGGCTCGTTTTAGCCCTTTGGCCCTCCAAGAAATTAATATTTTAATGAACAGTACAGGGCCATATTTGCCCCCATCTCCAACCAAGGGCCAAAGGGCCATAGGGCTCGTTTTAGCCCTATCACAAAAAACTGTCTCCAACCGAAGGCCAAAGGGTCATAGGGCCAAACATAATTTATTATTTAAAAACTATAGCTTAAATTCAAATCCAACGGCTAGGTGACATCAGCTAGTCGTTGGTAGCTGACATCATGCTGACGTTAGCTAGTCGTTGGACTCCATCATGATGTCTTGCATCATATTACACAATATGATAGTGGAGGATGAGTGAGATGGGTACATTGATGGAGAGTTTGATGATGACCAAGAAGATCCAAATAGGTCAAGAAGGGCTCGTGCAAAAGTATATGATGGGCCTAATTTGCCTTTCAATCCAAGAACTAGTAGTATCTCTATAAATGAGTACATGAGGCGCTATAGAATGATACGTTCTCGTGCCACAAACAAGTACCTACAACAGGATCTTGTTGCACATCTTTGGGCCAAAAGAAGCATGGAGTAGACGCTTAAGTTTTATGTTGTTAAATGTTTTTAAAAATATTGTTTAAGTTTCACGTTGTTAAATGTTTTTTTTATGTTGTATAATTTGTATGTTGGTTAATATTATTTAATGTTGTTTCATATTGTTTAATGTTGTTTCATGTTACTTAATTTAATTTAATGTTGTATAATGGCTTAGGAAGTTATAGGAAAAAAAATATAATTTAAAAAAAATATGAAACAAATTTTGTGAAATAGAAGTTATAGGAAAAATTTTGTAAATAAAAAATAATAATAAAACTGTAAAAAAAAAAAAAAAAATTCTAATGCAACGACTAGCTGACGTCAGCTAGCCGTTGCATTTGAATTTTAGCTTAAGGATTCTTGTCGGTTATAACCGACAGGAATAATGATTTTTCTAGCCAGCCCCGGGCTGGCTGTCTGGCTGCATGTAGCCAATCCTCCAGCCCTCCAGCCCTTTTAGATTCCGTGGGGCCCTCTCAAATTCCACGAGCCCTCTGGCCTAGCACTCAGTTGGAGACGGTTTTCGGGCTATTTTCGGCCATCTGGCCCTCTGGACCCTTCGGTTTGAGATGGCCTTAGAGGGTCCTTCCCAGCGAGGTTCAAGTAACAAAACAGATACTTATATTTTATAATTTAGAAAGGAGAAAAGGCGTGAATTTGTGTAAATTTAAATTTGTCTCCAACCAAGGGTGAAAATGAATTTGCCAAAAAGAGTAATTAGGGTTACATTTAGCCAAGAACAATACATATAGCAAGCTCTTAAGCCCCTCGCGAGCCCCAATATGTGTATTCCAAGTTAAAATAAAAAGATTTAGCCTTACATAGCTGAAGATGAAAAAAAATTAGGAAAAATTAGTATCTGGTCCATATTTACTAATGTTCATTGACCAAGACCTTATCAGTATTCAGATTTTGATCGAAGTCCCTAATATCAGTGTATTAATGAATTAAAATGTTAGTCCAATAATTTTTAAAATACAAATTTATAATTGATTTAGGGTGTAAGTATAATGGGCATTTCCATATGTGGTGGAAGTACGTGGGGCGAGCCAACGCTTCATCCTTTATCCGCTTTATCTCTTCCTTCGAAGGCAGGCCACCTTTTTCCTGACAAAGAAGATTGACCAGCCAGCGCCACTCATGGTACTCAGCAGGAATGCCCTAGGCGACGTGCACTTTCTTCATATCTGCAGAAGTCTTTTGAGTTGAGCTAAACTCCGAATCTACGCAAAGTGAGAAGGACAATCAATAAATTGAAGTCATGGAGAAACTCAACAAAACATTCAAGCAGGACAAGCATGAAGTAGTTCAGTTACTACTGATAAAGGTAGTCGGGACATGCAGCTCAGGAGAAGAGTTAGATTCCCACTCTTCGCTCACCTCCAAGGTATCTTTTGCCCACTTACGGTCACATTTGCTAGAAGCATCAAGCAGCTTATGGCGAGACCTCAGCTGCCCTACACTTTTCTTGTGGCCAATCTCAAAGAAGTACCAAAACTCATTTATGGTCAAGCCAAGATCAAAGAACCTGCTCAAGTTTGAGAACCCCACCATTGCATGAACTGCATTTGGGGAACATTGAGCAGGCGCCCATTACATGGAGCAGATCACTTCCTAGAAAAGACGCGGCATCTGAAAAGTAAATCCCAACATACAGCTCAGGAGAAGAGTCACATTTCCACTCTCATTCCCTCCTCCAATTTCTGGCGGGCCCGAGCCTAACATCGTGTCACCTGGCCCACATCAACCTCTCGCTGAGCCCAGCTCGCACCGCCAGCACCTCGGCCAAGCCAAGCTAACCCGTGTTACGCCACTAAGCAGCCCCGTGGCTCATTGCTATGTGTCACCCACACCTATGGCCCCCACTAAGCCAATTTTTTGAGTCCTAAGACTCCCAAATAATTCAAGAAGAAGAAAATTCAAATTTTTCTTACCTTGGTGCGGCACGGAGAAGAAGAACTACAACGAGAGATGATTCTTTGCATGGGCAAGAAAAGAAGAACTCTAGAGGAAGGGGAATAAAAATTTCCTCTGGCTTTTCTTATTTGTTGGACTAATGATTGTTCTTCAAATTTATTTAATCCCCTACTTAAGGTAGAATTAAATAGGTATTGGTGTGGTTGGTGAATGAAAGAAAAGGAAGACGATGACGGTAGCGAAAGAATTGATGATTTTTTGTGTGATTTTCCTTTTTGTTTTCTTTTTCTCTTTTTTGTTGGATTGTGAACTTTTATTTTTTAAAAACACATTTGTAATTTTTTTTTTTCTGAATTATGAATTCAAAAATATTATTAACAAACAAGTACCAAACACAGTATAAATAATACGGTCATTAGTCCAACATTCACCAAACGTCCAACTAATTTAGTCAGTACTATCTGATGACTATACATCTTATTCGACTGAAATAGTCAGTACAGTCCGAATTGCCAAACGAGGCCTAAATGAACAAGCTATACATGTTGAGTAGGTGTTGAGGCCCAAAACTGTCACACATAAATCTAACCAAGTCTCAAGGCCCAATTGTCATGCAAGCTTTCATTCAAGCTCAAACACATGCCGAGTGTCGATGCAAATTTCTGCCGTCTTCAGTCTTGATGAAAATGTACCTGCAAAACAATCAACACCTTTGTTCAGAGATCTAAGCCTCACGCGCCCACGAGGTGGGGGAGGGGGTTAGGTCAACGGATCTCCGATGCCTAAGTTAGTTTATCCGAGAGAGTAAAGTGTTTAGGGCTTTTTTAGGGTTGCAAAAACTCTCAAAATTTGGTAGAATATGGGGTATTTATAGGGTTAGGGCCGGCCATATAGTGTTTAATGGAGAGATATTCTCTAAATATTTCCAAGATATTTAATAGGAAATAATATCTTGAGATAATAGAGTAATTATCCTTAATTGATTTAAATTAGGATTACTTACTTGATTTGAGTCAATCTTGAAATGGGAATGTATTAAAGGTAGGATTTGGGTAATTAATCCTTATCTTTAATTCATTGCCAAAGACAGGTGAGCTGTGGGTAGTCGTATTCAGCTGCTGAGACCTCCAGAGGTGTGAGCTTGCGCTTGGGAGCATTTGAGAAGCTGCCCATTTATTGAGGGCAATCTTGTCTTCTTTGAATAAAAGTCCACGTGTTGCCTATAGAATTTTTGGGATTATTTTAGGCTTCACAAATGCCCCCACACCTAGTGTGCTGCATACAGGAACATGATAGTAGGTGTAGGAATCCCAAGTTGCTTAGGCTTGTAGCTTGCTCAATCAGTAAGTAGAAATTCCATGCTTTACAGAGAATCGGTGCAACCAAAAACCCAGAGGAAATTAAAAAAAAAAACCTAGTTTTGAGTTTTTAATCCATTGAAACCAAAAACCTAGATGAAATCTTTTCTAGTTTTGAGTTTAATCACCGAACATCATCAAAATCAAATAACAATTAAGCCAAAAACCCAGATAATGTCTCTCCACAATAGGAACAACGTAACTTGGATTCGATCTACCACCTCTGGTTTTCTGTTCAAAATCTATTTGATGCTAATCGGAGGTGGGGAGGGAGAAAGAGGGAGAGAACGAATACCTTAGTTGAGAAAAAGTTCTCGATGTGCCGGAGCAGATGGTGAGATGGTTGGAGGAACGTGTTTTTGCTTTAAGGGGGTCTATTCAATTTGGATTTTGAGAGAGTTTCAGGGAATTAATGATTCTAGGTGTATTCAATTGGGAATTTAAAAGACTTTATAAAAGTCTTGGTGTATTCAATTAAGATTCTTAAAGACTTCTTACAATTCCCTATAAATTTAGGTGTATTGAATCGTAACTTTTTGAAAGTCTCTAAAAGTTTAGGTGTATTGAAAAAGGAATTGGATTTGAACGGATTAGTGATTTGGTGGATTTTGTAGGATTTCAAGGTGATATGTATAAATACCAAAGAGCTTGGCAAATCTCACCTCTCTGTGTGATTTGGGTTTCCCATCGTTTCGAATTCTTTGTGAAGGTACAATCTTTCTTCCTCCGCAACTTCTTCCCATTGTTTCGAATATTGTAACCCGTATGTAGCGGCAGTCCTGTTGTTCTTCGTCTACTTTGATTCTAGGGTCTCCTTGTTCTCCACTGTGTAATATTGCTTTCGTGCTTGTTTGTGGTATAGGATTATGGGTTTTGTTTCTATTTTTTTGGGTTTTTTTTTTCTTTCAGCAATCTGTTTATTTTTAGGGGTTTATTTGGTTGGCATTGTTTATATGTTCTGTGTGGGATGATGATTCCCAATTTTTGTTTGTTTATTATCTATCTAGGGGTTTCCCGTGTCATCACTTGTTCATCATTATTTCTGGTTACTGTGGTGAGTAATTACGCTGGGAATTCGATTGTTTAATATGTCAATCTGTTGAGATGATTTCTAATATGAAACAATCTTTGAGTCTTTTTTCATAGTCATTTATGCTTTTTAATAATATGTCAATCTGTTAAGATGATTTCTTTAATCTAATATGAAACAATCTTTTAGTCTTTTTTTATAGTCATTTATGCTTTTTAATTTGCAGGAGCGACTAGCCAGGGCCACGTACTCTGCTTCATCTAGCAAAAGGAGTACGTATAAACAGCGCTCCTCATATATGCCATTTAGTTTCGTACGCTGCTTGTGCTTGTTGTTAGACCAACTCTAATGGTGGGCTAAAAGCCAAATTACTCTCCAAAATTTCCCCTCAAACCCAATCCAACCCAAGGGAAAATTTTGGGCTAAATGCTAAATGCTAAACCAAGGCCAAATTCGCCCCAAAATTTAGCCCAGAAATCGGAGTGGACTCCACCCAATATTTATCGGAATTTAAATTTTTTTAGATTAAAATATTCATAAAATTAATTTTTGATAGTCTACATATTTATTTATTTAAAAAAAAATTAATTTAACAAAAAAAAAAGTCTAAGTTCATTATTTAATAATCTCGGGCTAAAATTTTAGGCTAGAACGGTTGGAGCAGAAAAACTGTTTCTAGACTAAAAACTAAATTTTCTGGGTTAAAATATTTAGCTTTTAACCCAACCATTGGAGATGGTCTTAGGGCTTAATGCCTAGAATAATTATCCCATTAATTTTCTCGCTATCTAATACGTAATTATTGTAACTAGCTAATAACATGTATAATATATCCTCTATGTGCTATCTTGTTATCCTCTAGGGTTTGGAATTCTCAAGTTTGTATAGATGTTACATGTATAGATATTCTTGATCAGCCTGTACTTGGGCTTGTATTTATTGGCATTCTTTACGGTATCATAAATATTCTTCTGAACAATCGTCCTAATATTTAGAATTCACCTTGATATGTAAATGTCTGATTGGAATGGTTTATAAGCTACTTTAGACTTGTAATCCCTATTAGCTTTTATTGTCATGTCTCATTGTTTTATTACAATGCATCATCTAGTAAGATTATAAATGGGAGATTCACAATAAGAAAAGACAAAAGGAAACTATAAGCAGTGGTTCGTGCAAGAGAAAAACATGTTGTTACAGCTACTTGTTGAGGTTGTAAACAATGGATGGTATGATGCTAATGGCATAATAAGCAAGTAGACCATAGAAGCCAAAATTGTTCCTGTGCTCAATGAAAAACTTGGGTGTAAGAAAACTGAAGATCATGTTAAGAACCGTATGAAAACATTGAAGGGTTGATTTCAATAAATTTGCTAGCTTTTTAGACACAGTTCTGGATTTGGTTGGGACCCTGTCACAAAGAAGTTCATAGCTCGTGATAGAAGTATGGGAAGGTTTCCTTAGGGTGAGTTTTATTTTTTATTTATTTAAAGAATATATTATTTACACATGATGATCTTTCATGTTTATACATTTTGTATTTAACAATTTTTTTTTTTTTTTTTGTTTTAGCTAGTCTAACCCAAAGAGTCAAGGTATTCGCAAAAAGACATTTGCAGACTATGAAGATTTGATGACTGTTTTTGGTGATGGAACAGCTAAAGGAAATAACTCAAATGGATTGGGCGATGATACTGATGTCACAACATATAGAGTTGAAGAAAGTAGGCCATTCAGAGTAGATGAATTTCCTCCCTTTTATGAGAACGTCGAGCAACTTGATCCATTATGCCAAACGCCATCCCATGCATCATCTTTCCTAGATGCAAATTTTGAGGATCCCACTGCTGCAATTGCCACTGAAATTCAAGGAATTCATAGCATAACGGAGAAAAGAGAAAAAGATAGAGAAAAAAAAAAAAAAAGAAATGGAGAAAAAAGAAGAAGAGAAAAACAACAATGTTTGGGATGCTATAAAAGCGACTCCAAACTTGGATGCTCCTAGTTGTTACAAAGCAGTTGCGTTGGTTCAAAAATTGGGAATGAAAAAAGAGTTCTTTAAAATGACACCAGAAGAACGCTCAGAATGGATAAAATACAATATGGAGTGAATGCGGTTATTTTAGATTTGTTTACATCTTGGAGTATTTACTTTTGTTTGATAACATTTTGACTTTGGTTTGGTTATTTCAAATTTGATCTTGGAGTATCTAATTTGTTTGATAATACATTGACTTTGGTTTAAATGATAGAAGAAGTAGTTTATTTCTTTACCTTTCTCTCGATTATGTTCTAATGGATATAGTTTTGTTTTTTTAGGTGATTCTTTATATAATGTCTGAAAACATGTGTGAAGAGGAAATGGAAAGAGAAGATGAAGAATATCATGAAGCTATTAAGTTACTATTGATGGTAGTACAAGCAATAGTTCAAGTGCTAAATGCGTTAATGGTTATTATACATGATGATCATATTGAACGTCCATTGGCTTGACGACCTATTAGTAGAACTGGATACGATTATATTAACAAGGTATTGAATGAGGATCCTTAAGAATTTCGAGTGCTATATAGGATGTATCCGGATGTTTTCTTAAAGCTATGCGATGTCCTTACGGAAAAGACGTATTTGAAGGGTACAAGATTTATTTGTATTGAAGAAATGGTTGCTACATTTCTACTCACTATTGGTCAAAATTATTGATATTGCCAAACTTGGGACACATTTCGCCAGTCACATTTTACAACAAGCAAAAATTTCAACGATGTTTTGAAGGCCTTGAACACAATTGCACCAGATTTGATGGTTTAACCTGGATCCACGGTGCCAACTAAAATAAGAGAAAGTACAAGATTTTACCCTTATTTTAAGGTTAGTAATTAGTACTTGATGGAACACATATACCAGCAATGGTATCGGGACCTGAAGTAGCTAGCTATCGTGATCGTCATGGTAAAATATCACAAAATGTATTAGCTGCTTGTAACTTTGATTTGGAATTCATATATATTCTTAGCGGATGGGAGGGTTCAGCTCATGACTCCAAACTATTACATGATGCTGTATCAAGGAGGAACAGATATAAAGTGCCAGAAGGTTCATATTCATTCATTTATTTATTTATACTAGGACTTACCATAAATAATAACTTTATGTGTTTTAATTTTAGGTAAAATTTTTCTAGTGGATTGTGGATTTGCAAATCGTCATCAATTTTTAGCTCTGTTTCAAGGTTTTCGATATCATCTCCAAGATTTTGCTGGTAACGATCGTGACCCCGTAAATGCGAATGAGTTGTTCAATCTTCGACATGCTTCCTTGAGAAACGGAGTGGAGAGGATATTTGGTGTATTTAAATCTCGATTCACAATTTTCAAGTCTGCACCTCCATTTCCAATTAAAACACAAGCAGAGTTGGTGTTAGCTTGTGCAGGGTTGCACAACTTTCTTCGCAAGGAGTGTCGTTTTGATGAATTTCCAATTGAACTAGAAGATGATGAATATGAAGATGAAGAAAATGATGATGAACTAGGTAATCAAACTCAACAGCAACAACGACAGATTGCTAATGCATGGAGAGCTGGCATAGCTACAAATATGTGGACATATACTATGAGTAATAGCATTCAAAGATGAGAAATAGAGAATTAATTGTTTTTACGGATTGGAGTATGCAATTTATGTTTAAAAAACTTTGATAGCTAGTTAATTTTGTAAGCCTTAACTTTCAAGATTTTGGAAGCCAATGTTTAATTTCACCTTGATAGCTAGTTGAAAACATTGCATGTGAACTTGGTATTGCGATTTGGTATTAGTAGGATGAAACTGATTAATGTTTATAGTATCATAAGAAGTTCAATGGTTATCCTCGGATTTCAAAAGCTTATCTATGCTCTCCTTTTCTATCCTTGCCATATTTTGTCAGGACGTCGGTGCAGCTTCACACCTGGATGAAGGCTATTGTGGATGCTTACCATCTTAGCCAGAAAGGCACTCTAATAAGGGAAGCAAGAGACCTCATGAACCCAAAGATCATTAAAAAAATGGAGGAGCTGAAGTAGTTAGTCGAAAACAAGTTCCTGTGACAAAGATAAATACTACTACGGATATTCAATAGAACAGTGGCCATGAATCTTCGAATTTTCTCAAGTTCCTGGTAGCATGGGCTACGACGCTTGGAACTTCAAACATCGAAATGATCTGTCAGCCTTATAGGTTAAACATGTAGTTATTTCCTAGAATTTTGTAGTCTGATGTACATCAAGCCTTTTTTTTTTTTTCACTGTAAAGAGAAGGAAATTGATGATCAAATTCTCTGCAATTCTCTAACCCCATGTAAAGAATTCTATCACAATTCATGTGAATTCTCTAGAAGTTATAATTAATTCACTCAAAATCTCTGGGAATTCTTTTTTTTTTTTCTCCTAAACTCTCTCAAATTCTATAGATTGAAATTCCCTGAAACTCTCTCAAAATCCTAATTGAATACACCTCACTTAGTGTGAACCCAAGTAAATAATACCAAGGTATTGGACGGGATTAGCAAACGGATGTAAGGGGTATAAAAAATGGTGGGGCCGGATTAATAATCCGGTGTTTATTTAGTACAAAATTCACCAAACACCTGTTTCGTATTATATAATACTATCCGATGTTTTATACGATGTGCCAAACGAGGCATTAGTCATCATTTATATAATTCTAGTCAAATCATAGGTTTGAATATTTAATAATATTGATCTCTAAGAACATGTTCATTGATAGCATAAACGTCTCTCTTTAAATCACTACTTTTGTTCTTCAGTTACATAAAAGTGATTTGAACTCCGAACCTAATCTACTCTTATCCGCTGCTTAATGGCCCATTCATCATTGAGCAAACTCCAATGACCGCAATTTAATTCAATATTAATTCGAGGTATATAATTCATCACAAGGGAAATATAACCCAAAAAAAAAAAAAAATCACTGTCGGCAACAATGAATATAAAGCTAAAAAATGGAAAAATGGTTGGTGGTTGCACATGCAAATGCATTTTTCAGTCGAATGAATCTGCATGCTCATTATATATCTACTACTCCCTTTTTCTTATATATGTTTAGATATTATTTTTTGGATTCCATTAATAATTTATTTTCGGTGGAGTTTTTAGGCAAGATGCATGGGAGGGAGATGGGGTCCTGCTAATCAAAGACGAATCTTAAGCGGCCCTTTCTTCTTCTTCTTCTTCTTCTCCTCTTCACAATTTCACATGGTGTGTCTCAACCTCCCCTCCATGCATTATTATTCTTTTTCTGGTCAAAGAGAAAGCTGTCTCCATACTCATCGTTTTGCAGCTTTTTCTTTGCCTCTCCCTTGGGGAGAAAATTATAAAGAACTCCATATCTGACCTTTTATTTTATAACTAAAGCCTGCATGGCTGCATGCCACTATTTCTTTTCTGTATATATTATACATATATTAGACATGTATATGGGCTCCATCAAAACCTTCCTCATGTGATGGTAGGGTCAATGTTTTAATTAATTTTGATTACTGTTTTATTAGAAGCGATATTTTAATTTTAAGCTAGATTAACGAGACGGAAATTTGTTTGAACACGGAATGCGTTGAAGAGAACAACTCTATTCATTAAGGGCTCCATCAAAACCTTCCTCATGTGATGGTAGGGTCAATGTTTTAATTAATTTTGATTACTGTTTTATTAGATGCGATATTTTAATTTTAAGCTAGATTAATGAGACGGAAATTTGTTTGAACACGGAATGCGTTGAAGAGAACAACTCTATTCATTGTCACTGCACGCGTTTGGATGAATAAATTTAAAATTACTAACAAATTTCAAAATAACAATAATTGAAAGATGGAGTTTTATCTTCTAATTTTTTTTTTCAGTTTTATTGTTTGAATAACCCGAAAAAATAATAAAATTTAAAATACGGAATCAAATGTGTATATAGAGTCATTAATTATATATATATATATATATATATATATATATCTAAATGGTAGTGGTGATAGTAGTGATGATAGTGGTGGTGATGGTGGTGGTGTCGGTGGCGTTGCGGTTATTATAGTTGTGGTGATGATGGTGGTGGGTGGTGACAATGGTGATGATAGTGAGTGGTGATGGCGATCAATCATGGTTTAGTTTTTTGTCTTTTTTATTTTTTTTATTTTTTATTTTTTTTCACACGAAAATTCTAAATTTTATGTTTATGAATCTAAACAAAGAAATTAGTGCATGTCAGTTTATATTTCTGACTTTTATTCGAATTTTAGTTTATTTTTCTCATCCAAACATAGCTATGCAATTCACCACTTATTAACTTTAGACATTCAAAATCAATATACTGTAAGGAATTTATTAAAACCCTAGACGTTCATTACTTGACTTATACTTTGTGAAGAATGAACTATTACTACTCATATTTTGGTTAAGTTCAACCTGTTTCATTTATTTATTATTAATTAAGAACTTTAATTGATGTATTACGGTGGAAGAAACTTTATAGTTAAGGATTAAGGTTCTTTATACTATTAGTTTGAGGATTATGATCTCTTTCAATAAAAAAAGGATTATGATCTTTTAAAATATTAATAATATAGTGGAAAGAACATGTGGGTGGGCATAATAGGATGATAAGAAAATACAAAAAAAAAAAAAAAAAAATCGTCCAGCATTAGTGTTAGTAGTTATCATTTACTAATGAAATATTACCGTCCATTTTTAGATATTTAGGGACGGATTTAGAATTTTATTTTGTAAGAGCGACTTTAAACAATGTTTAAAGAGTAATTAATTAATAATATTTATCTTTGTACTTGAAGTCTTGAATTTGATTTCAATTCTCTAAATTTTACTTTATATAATGTTATTCTTATTTATGTTATTCTTATTTAGATTCCGATCCTCGGTTTATTGCCGCTAGGGATTGTAAATTTTATTTCGCTCTATTTATTTTAGGAGAATTCTAACACCGGGGTGGAAAGCCTTTCGGGAGTTTACTTTCGAAAGTTAGAAAAAAAAAGGGATAATTGATATAGATCCAATTTTGTGAGTCATTAGTAGAATTAGTCCACTTCATTGAAATAGGTCCAATAATTGAGATTCCATGTATGTTTATTTATGGTTTGTACCATATTTACCCCTTAGGCTTACGAATTGTAGTAAATACACAAAATTTCTTAATTATGAGATAATTTGTGGTTTAACTAATCCCTTAATTGTAGGATTAGTTATAGCCGTATAATCACCTCAACCCCCAGTCTGTTTCATCCCTCCTTTTTTCCTTCTTCCAAACAATTCCCTCTATCAATCCTCCTCTTTTTTGTCTCTTCTTTTCATGGGTGATATTTTGTGTTCTTCCCTCCAAATTCGTTCCTTTAATGGAGGATATTATATCATATTTATATTTTATGTTCCGCCATGTAGGTTGCCAGCATTTTTCTTCCAATACAATAGGTAGTTTATTTTTGTTTTGCAGGTAGATTATATCTGCTTTGTAGGTATAAAACATTTTCTTCCTATACAATAGATAGGTAGTTACTAGATTATATCGGTCTTGTTTTCTTCATAAATAGTAGGTAGTTACTAGATAATATTTTAGTTTGAGTTTTAAATATTCAAAATTTAAAACTGAATAAATGATAAAAAAAAATTAAAGATTTAAATATTTTTATCTGAAAGGGTAAAATTGATATCAAAATATGTAATTGGATAACTGGACTCGGCCCCAAAACCATCTAAGTTTTTGATAAAAAAAAACATAACTTCTCACGTGCTTCACTGAATTTACAACGATTAATATTATTCTTTTATTTTTATCAAACAATAGATTTATAAGATTAAGAAGTCGATGAGATTCAAAACCACGCTATGATTAAAGAGTAACACTACTTTTCATTACTGTGGTAGAGAACAATTTGTTACCACGACCACTATTCAATGCTATTCTCTTTTAGCAGTGGTTACCACGCAAATTAGGTGCAATGTCCTGGGCAAATCAGTCATTTCAACACCTTCCTCCCTCCCGTCTAACTACTTGTTTCTGCGTTAGCGCGGTAGTTTTATTCAAAGGCCATAA